ACATCTAGCAGCAGTCTAACCTATCAGAGGAGCTCTTATGAGCAACAGTTCAACTCTTCAACAAGTTTGGAATCATCACAGATGGAAAAATCGGGGACTCGAAATTTGCAGTTACCACGAGGATAATTATCAGATGCAGAAACTAGGTCTCCCTTTGTCGACTTCCGTACACCCAAAATAAAAAATTGATACGAAAACCCAGCCAGACACTTTAAAGACTCCACTTCTGTAGTGGATAGAAAGCCACACGAGTAAACTACTTAGAACTTCTAACAATACCGAGCGCCCAAGAATAAAGCAAAAATCCTCCAAAAGCCGATTTTTCGAGTTCGTTGCTTTCGAAGAATTGTTCCGATGGAGCCATCTACCTAATAGCTTTAGATTTCTGTATTTCACACCCTGAATGCAAGCGCAAATAAATGCAACATAGAAGTTTGATCTCCAGAAGAAGGCAGAGCAGAAGGCCTGGAAACATTTGGACTCGCCTTAGTTACGTGCCACCGCACGCGCCATCCCCTCATCCGAAGGCTCGTGTTAACGGGGAAAGTGACAAATCTCAATTCTATTCTGGAATTACTTTGGGGTAAGAGTTACAAATACTTCCCAGAAGTCGTCTGTTCCATCAAGCTACTATGTGTTTTTAATGACTCAATGTCTCGGTCCTCATAATTTTGGACTACCCTGTACTTCGATGTTTTATTGTACCTTGTAGCTTCTCTACGACGGCATTCAAGGCCGGCTGGACTTTGTGGGGAAGTCCATTTCGTTTCATGTTCGTTCCCACGTCTTTCGTTAAGGTGTTAGAGGAGCTGAGTTGTCTTGCTGATTTTCGCTGTTGTTTGGGGCTGAATGTTGAGCACATTATACGAGGTGTAAAATCTGCTAGGCAGAGATTCTCCGAAACTGTCCAGTTGCTGAGTGGATTGCCTAATCGAGTAAGCCAAAAAAATTCTTTGATCCTCCGCATTACATCCCTATAGATGTTGTGAGTGCTTCCTGTAGTACTGCATCAACAGTTTTGCTTCTGTCTTGTTCAGCTTTTATCTAGGAAAATTTGTGGTCGGTCATCTAATGGGGCCCGCATGCTTGCAGAGTTTAATAGGCAGCCTTTTTGCTGAAGCAGTGTAGACTTGTTTTCGTGCGATCTACATTTCAGGATAGTTGTCTACGGAGAATAAGTAAAGTAAAGCAGTCTGGTAGGGTGCTTAGAGCATTGTGGCAGACTATTACTAAGAGCGCTCTTATACACTGCATTTCATAATTATAGGTCCACCCTAAATTTTTGCTATTCCAAAGTTGCTGTGCATTTTCGGAAAATGCCGATATTACCAATAGATTCCCCATAACGAAAAACCTTGATACTAAATTTTCTGTAGAAATCTCGATTCAGAATTATTAAAACACCTTCTTTAGAACGTATTTTCGCCGTTTCGCATGTATGACTACACATCACTTGTCTAGAAATTTTATTACAACAAAAAGAACATTACAGATTTTTAGTAATGGGATTCTCCATTGGTCATAGAGACCACATTAATATGTTTCAGAATTCTTGTAGCCAGGTTAGCTATTACATTTAGATCGAAATTTGTCTGTGGGCCGATAATCGACGTTTCAGCTCTTCCACTGTTCCGTTTTGATTTCCTTTTCTTTTTTTTCTGTAGAACTTTTTTACAATAAGGTCTAATGATTCTCTATTGGAACCAGTTTTAAAGAACATGCGGGAAACTGGATCCTTCTGGTGTGAAAGGACTGGCATGGATAGTCGCGTTATCGTGCATATAAGTGAAGGATCGTGGGGGTTGTTGTCAAAGAAATGCTGAAATTCGCTCCAAAAGATCTCTACGATACCCTATGGAATCCTTATGAAAGGAAACAAAAGCGAGCCCTAGCCGCTCAGTAATTCAAAGATGATTCAAAGCATAAGGCATTTTTGTCAAAATTACGTTGCTTTAGTGCCATCTGCGATTCCCACGGGATCCTCCTGTACCCTCTTTTTCTATTAGATCCACCTAGAATAAATTTTTTCACGCCGCCCCCAGATCACCAGCAGCACCAAACAAATAGGTAGAGTCTAAGATCGCGAAGGGTCTTATCAGCCATACATTCGCTCAATTAGTTGAGGAGTTTCCCACGACGAAATGTAGACGTGCGATGTGATAGCGCTCCAATGATCTTAGAACGCGTTTCGTCAATCCCCTGAAGATGTTCTTGCACTGCTGGCTTACCACTACACGGTATCGCTCAAGGAAGGCCGCAATTGTGCACGGACCTTGTTTGGACTCCTTGTATAATTCGACAAAAAACGCCCAATTCCTCTTGAATTTTGAATAAAAAGTATCCTTCTTCGACCACGACTTTCCACACTGACCAGGATTTCGCACATACTTGCTTATACACTAGGAGCCGGCCGATATGGGAGGCAGTTCTGCTCCTCAGCCATTGGGCTACAGTCAGTTTTCTGGCTTGAGCTTGTTAGTGGGAAGAGAGGCGAGTAGCACGAGAAATGTTAAACTCGATGTCGGCTAAGATCACATATATCCCCGCTTTCCTACTTTCCTTCACGGATCATGAGAAATGGGAACTTTTTATGGGTGGTATTCATGAAACGGTGAAAATTCGTTCTGAAAAAGTTATTTAGGTTACCTGAGGGGGGAATTTCGTCAGAAAAACACTGTCAAGGTTTTTCGTCATGAGGAATCTAATGGTGATAGCAGCATTTTCCAAAAATACACAAAAGTTTAGAACAGCAAAAATTTAGGGTGGACCTATAATTATGAAATGCAGTGGGGCTGACGTACTACTTTGAATCATATAATGAAAAGGATGAAGAATAAATTAATAATTAATTAATTAATTAATTAAGAACAAATTTGCCGTTGGTCAATTCCTTTTTGGGATGCGGCACGCATTCTACCTGCAATGACTAAGCCACCCCTGTGGTGAAGGTGAGTCTGCTGATGTTTGCCAAAAGGAATTGTTGATGAGTCCATATGCATAAAACCCATTTAGTTGTACGATCTCAGGACAAAAAGAAGATTTAAGTGTTCTGATTTTCGCTAGTTTTCTTTAGTGCTTACTCTGTTGCCGCTATAGACACTCCGCGTTAACCTATGCTATTTCTGCATTCAGTTTAGTTTTTTCTTTCTCACAATGAGCTGTGCAAAATTCAAGTCAAGAACAACTGCTCAATTAGAATCGATTGATCGATCGATTGATCAATTAGAATCGTTCAAAGACCGTACATCAGATACTCGAAAGGGGCCGCCATCAAAGTGAGTGCATTTGGTGGGCGGTCAAAGTTCCACAGCTTCTCTCCCTCAACGTGCGGAGATGTTTGGGCAGTTTTGAAGAGGAAAATCGTTTTTTCTATGGATCCATGCCACTCACACGAATCTCAGTTTTTGCTACTTTTTGAGAACTGTTAAGAATACTTCCCTGCTGTAATATGCAGATTCGCCCTGGTTTCAATGTCTGTGCTAGCCGTGAATAACTCGTAATGAAGGTGACTCTTCTTCCTGCAGTTGCAGCTTTGAAAAGTGTTGTGAAGGTTGGTCTTGCTACAACGATTGGCCAAAATAGCCTATCGTGTGAGTCACTTCAGATTGCACCCCAGAATGCAGTAATCAACAATGACGACTCCATTGCATATGGGAAGACGACACCTTGAAACGGCGAATTTCCGCTGCCTCGATTTGTCGAAATGTTGCCTTCCCAACTTCCTGCGTACTTTAGTAGACGTTTTCGCCTGATTTGACAACGTTTTTCCTCACAGTTTTATGCGAAGATGTTCTGAATAAATCACTTAGTTGATCGATGTCAACAACCGATAACCCACCGTGCACGCTCTAAATGTTCACATCGCTAACCAGGACCAGTTTTCCAGGGACGGTAGCAAACCTTCATTAATTCAGACTCAACGTGTCGAGATTAGCTCAGACCAAAGTCAGTTTAGATAACTGGTTCAGAGCGCTTCTCAACACCTTAAGTCTTGTTTAACCTACAGTTAGATCATAACCAAAAAAACCAATTTGACTTGAAATTAGACAGTTAACTTGTGAGCCTAATTCCTAGCTAATCAGAGAAAAATACTGTGGGGTTGAAGAGACGCAGAGGCCACGTTGATCCTTCACTGAAAGTACTCCGAAGCACTTAGCACTTTCTACTCAGGAGTCAACGTGTCAAACGTGGCCTCTTCGTCTCTCCAACCCCACAGTATTTTTTCTCTGCCAGATCGACGGACTCCAAGTTGGGCCACTGAGTCATTCGCGGCTGCAGTGCCTTGGATGAGGCTACAGTCGCTTCTCTCTCATTCCTCCCTCTTTTTTCTTCCAATATTACGTCTTCCAGTTCTCAATTTCATCTATCCTTAACATGTTATGTTTCAGAACCTTGTTCCGAGTGCAATCTACTAGGCTGACCGCAAGGCCATTGATCCGCGAAGAAACCGGGGATTGGAAACGCACACGGTTATCCGGAGGCCACGATTAAGGTTCGCTTTTCTTTAACTTTATCCCCTTCCATTGTTCGTATATAGTTGTTTGTTTATGATTCATTATTTATCTATGTTTCGCCTCCCTCGTCAGCTTCATAGCTCTTCAAGCACAGAGGCCTAACCGGTAGACTTTTGTAGCCAAAAAGGAGTGCAGAATGGAACGTATCGGTTTTGCTGATGTAGTCAGGTCCACTTCCTGGAATTAGAACAAGTTTGAACATTGGAATTGTTGTTGTCTGTTATGGTTTCATGTGATAAACAGTTGACTATGAAGCTTGTTCTGCATTGTTTACTAGTGCGGGTATCACCTCATACCTTTGATAAATTATTCACAAGTTGTTTTTAGTTGTCAGAAAATTTTCTGTTCACTCTATGTACCTTATCGTTACAGGGTTGGGTATTTCATACCTGTTCGCCGCTTGGAGGGCCGAAGTTTATCCATAGGAATCTACCACCGTCATCACCTGTCGCTCAAATAGATTCGAACGGGTGCTGCCACATAATCTGAAGAGGTGAGTAAGACTTTCACTCCATCACCTGTTCGCTATTTCAAGCTTCGAATACAATTACTCAACCGATTTCACTGTGTGGATTCCGCATTCACGTTATACCACTAGTTCACGCAGGAGGTCAACCCGCTGTGATTGCGCAACATCCCTAGAATTTTTAGACTCCCTTCTTCGCGGGGAGGAGTATCTGGCTACGACCCCCCTATTAACTATCATGTCTTTCACATAAATTATTGCTTCAATGCTCATCATATGATGCGTTCACTACATTGGAGAGTAGTGGACCGTGGTCAAGCCGCGCGCTTTGGCTCATCAGGGAGAGATCGGACAGTGACGTTTTATTTGCATTAGATAGAGAAGTTTCAAATTTTGCGTAAACAGATTAATTCATTTTCAAATCGTTAAGATTTCTGACTTTATCAGAACCCAATTTTTTCATCTTCACATTTCTTTCCTTATATTCTGAAAAACTAACGCCCACGCGTTGTTGCATTTACATTGAACCAAAACCTCTTATCAGAGGATTATATTTCCTTGCCAGGATGATGTTTCATGGTATTGGACACAAAAGTCTTGTGGAAAGTTAATAGTTTCTTCCTGAAGAGTATTTGAAGGTGTGGATGTTCAGATTATTTCGAGAAGTTGCCGTTGTTCCGTTTATGTGTGTGCAACCGCCAGTTCTTTGAATTAAACTCATAACTTTCTTTCATAAATCACTTTCTTGAAATGTTAAGGGCTATTAGAAACTAGAAGATTAGAGCTTTGACAGGTCTGAAAATTTTCCAGCGATCGTTTTTTCGAAAAAGATGTCCCGTTGCTTCCGTTTATGGGCAGTTGGGTTCCGTTTTTTGAGAAGGCGCCGAGTGTTTCGAATTCAAACGTTGAATTTTTATACTACAAATTTGCGATGTCTAAAGGCCAATTTAGAACTAGAGATTAAGTTTCGGATAGTGCAAAAACTTCTTGAGTAGCACTCGCTCAAAAATAGTCCCCGTTCGCTTCAATTTATTCACCTTGATTTTTTTCAAGCCAATCTTTCTGGACGCGATATGCGTCTTCAAAGGATCATTCCTTTAATCAGTGTGATGAAAGCGGATAAAGATTGTGGGATACCTCGAAGAGTCTTTCTACGACTGTGAAAAAATTCCTGGAAACTTTTTCTTCTGGTCAATTTCTACGGCGTTCGTCTTAGAACTTAAGGGGTGCAGCAATTCGCCTACCTTTGTTCGCTGGATTTTATATGAGCGATCGAAACGCTCTTCAAGTTTGTTGCTACGGACGTGAAGGAGGAGGCGTTGTTCACGGGAAAACGCTCGGGTAGTACGCCGTGCACTTCTGTGGCAGAATTCGCTCGAATGGTGAACCTCTTCTGTTTTCCTGAGAAGGTGTTAGTATATTCGTTCATGAGTTTATTGGCTGTTATATGCACGTCTTGTTTCACACTTCCTAACTGCTCTACAATTTGTTGCTCCGCGATTATCTGGAATGTTTCATCATCGATGGCAGAGGGATGGTTTTTCCCATTCACTGTAAAGATTGGTGCTGTTGTCTATTGTCTCTATGATTTATGCCGCGGAGCACAAGCGCCGTCGGATACGGTGATTAAGGATAATAGCTGATGTGGACGCTAGTTATGCCTGCATGCTTTGATGCTCCATGAAGCTCCAGTTTGTGGCTTCGACAGCGTGCAGAGTCTGGAGAACATTAGAGCTTTGAGTGCAATCACGCGACACTGCAGTTTGTTCAGCGTGTTGCGCGTCTGTTAGTACGGACCCTCCTTTAGCGTCGCGAATACACCCTCGTTGTTCTTTGCGCAACGCAAGGTTGACCTGAGTATCACAGTTCTCTCTCGGCAAATGCGAGGCATGTCACCTGGAAGGCGTTCCGTTGGGATTTTTAGTGTATTTAATGTTCAAGCGATTGGCGGTTATTAGTCTGATGGTGTTCTAGCGACTGCGTGGGCTGCAGAACGCTTGTGAGAGAGATGTTGGCATAGAGTAAGTAACTCGGCATCGTTTGGGGGTTGGGATCTACAAGTGCCAGTTTAACCTTAACTCACCAGTTCTGCTGTGCAGTCACAGGTTTGAGGTTTTAGTCTCGCCTTCTTGGAAAAGGTTTTCTAGCAAAGACGCTCGCAATTTCTTTTCTTCTCCGAATGAATTCCTTGTTTTCGAAGGAAGTGATGTGCACTTCCGTCAGTCTGTTCGCTCAGTTTTTATGCGCATTTTAGTAGAGGAAAATGTCACCGGGAATTCTTTTGTTTTGGGAATAAGTCGGATTCATGTCTGAGGAAGAACGTTTCTGTGGTTGTCTAAATCCGTAGCGATCGCACAGCATTTGGATACGCATCGATTGGTCGCACTTGCATAGGGAACGGACGATCGAACGATAATTGCTGTGCGAATCTTAAACGATGGGCGAACCACTGTGAAAGCGACCGCTGTGACAATTATAATTACATACTTGCTTTGAGTAGATGTACGTTACGGCCTGCATGTGCAGTTGATACTAGCGATTTGGAAGATGACTATCGTTCTGTTAGTTCGGAGGTCTTGTTTTTCAAAGAACCTTATACGGTGTCTCGCCACTCATTCCTCTCCGTCCCGACGAAATCTTAACGATCCAAATAAGGAATTATGCGATGAAAGGTAAGACCAGGCAAGAATTATTCACCTGGAGAGAGTAGTCCATCTCCATCGTGTACATGTGGATCCAATTAGTTATACTGTGGCAGGTTTGTTTTCTTTGAAGCCGCAGCGGTCTCCGTATGGCTAGAGTCACATGTCTCTGTGAACTTATGTGATTTTGCCAAGTTACAGCGACTCAGTAGTCTTTTTAATGTGTCGAGAGGGTTGCCCATCTTCTCGCATATCGCTTAGGTTAGGATACGGGTGATTTGTTCGCCGGTCTGCCACGATGGCTAAAGAACAGAGTAGTAGAGAACGGGGGACTAAGCTTGGAGAAGAGGAGGACCTGCCGAGGAGAGCGCAGAGGCGGTTTTAAGAGCTGAGTGCAGGTAGGCGTTCGCGCATTAACTTACGCGCAGATGCTTGTGTCAAATGCAACAATTGTAGGGAGGAGATAGCGCAACTCGCGTTTCATTTTTTACTGTTAGTGGATCAACAGCTGCGAGGTGACATCTTCCATCTTTCCTTGATCCGCCTAAGCTCTCAGACTTTTTGAAGGCAGAACACGTTGGAAGCTTGGCTTCAGATGCCACTCGTGTTAGCCTTATGTATTCAAATGTCACCCTGCTTGATTTACTTAGGGTTTTGTTACTAAAAAGCCAAGTCTCATTTACTACAAGTGTTGGACGATGAGAGAGACGCGAGGAGCGAGGCGAAAATCGGATTGCAGACCATTGTCAACCTTGCAAGAATTTCATTAACTCTTTGTAACAATCCATGCGGTTTGCTTCCGGGCGTTTCAGCAAACATTTTGTTCCAAGCATATAAATCATTCACAATAGATCAAGCGATTCAAGGAACCCCCACCCCCCCCCCCGCCTACCTATTTCTTCATAATGTCCTAACATCTGTCTAAAATGATGGATCCGCTTATTAACTTGGTGCCGTCGGTACACTAAAGACGTTGACGTATTCACCCCGACTTATTAGACTAAATCACCTGGCGCTCAAAAAACAGCTCCACGTCCATGCTCCCGAAGCAGCAGACAAAACACCCAACAACATCTCTACACCCAGTGCGATCCCAACACAACACCTAATATCCGTGCTGAACTCTATGTATTCAGAACAGCTGTACTATTCTATTCCACGGTTTCCCGGGCGGCGATCCATATCCGATATGGTGGCATAAGTCTGATTACCCCGCCAACCGTTCGCAAAAATTTCGCCGTGAATTCTTATCGTCAGATCGATTATGAATGTATTGGATCAAATGTATTGCGCAGATGAGACCGTTGGTTTGACCAACATTCAACCACGCGTAACTGATCTCTACATCTCTAGATTTCGGGCGCTTTGGGCATTTGGAAGTTTCTATTTATTCTGTATGACAACTGCTCCTTAAATCGAGTTGCGACAAACCAACGCCACCTCTTCTTTGTTCTTTTGAGATAGTATAGCTTTCGCCTTGCAAATTGGGTTTAGGTTTGCGATAGTTTAGATATTAGATTATTAGATGATCGGATAGATTGAGAAGGTTCTTGCTATCGATTAATGGTGTTACGGCAGTTTCACTTTGGTGTGAAGTCAATGAAGTGCGACCCACACCCTAAAACCGCTGTGCAAATTCAAACATGCATATGTGTCACATGTTCCTGGAGTGGTGCAGATTGCTTTTGTATTGAGTTTATTTTCTTCTTGCTGTTTTATAATAGCGGAGTTTGTTGTCCTTCTTATTACATATCCAGGCTTTATGTTCTTATGCCTATTATGTCATTTAATCGGTTTTCATTCTGCAGTTCGATTTACAGTTGAGCTTCATCTGGGTCCCAGATAAGCAGACAGGAAAGCCTATTTAATCCATTTGCTGGCGAGCTACTTCGTAAATGTTCGTGTATTCGTATCTAGTTAGTTTGTTTGACCTACCCCCCCGTATTTTCATTTTAGATGATAGCATGATAATGGCTAGCCGCGTTTTAAGGAATGCAATTTAGCACGACAGACTGAAGTCGTAATGAAATCGTCAATTGTTGCATCACAGGGATATTGGAGAGACGTCACGAGTTTTTAATCCGTTGTTACACGTTTTGAGGAAGTTGAGTCCGCTCAGCTTCTCTTCTAATTCAGGCAGATACGTAGTTCCTCACTCTTTTACAATATTTACTACTATGTCATTGTCGTCGTTCCACCCATACCCGTAGTGCGGCAACTTGTTGCGGGATCTATTACGAGAAAATGGATTGGCCCACGTAGAAAGAATTCGCCATGAACTGGGCTAGGATTCCGCACTCTCGCAGTGATGATTTTTTGGGAGATGGGTTTCCACCTTTCGGTTGAGGACGGGCGCGAGCACCACCGGCGCGGTACTGTCCCTCGTTTCCGGCTACGATAGGCACTTTTCATTTTGCTGTTCAAGCATAGCGAAGCCGCAAAAAAATAGTTTCTGCCATCGTATGGACAATATTCCTATCTTGGCATTCATGTGGCGCGCACGGTCCAGGACAAATGGGCTTTGTCTTGTGGTGAATTTGAACCATCCCTCTCGCGCCCATATTGATTGGTCGTCAAATACGACCCCTCGTTTTCGCTCTTCACATCAGACGGCGAACAGTTTGTAAGGACTACCTTTGGCTTATCTCTGACGTCTATGTTTGTCAATGATCCTGGTCTCTAGTTCACGGCGTTTCACGAGTGTCAGCGGAACTCTGGGTATCAAAAACGAAGTGTTGTCTTTCAAGCAAGACGGCCATTTCCTGCTGGTCAAAATAGTATGTTTTCTGAATTTAAGATTTTGTTCTTGCTGTATTACCTAGCGTGAACAAAGCAGTAGGATAATAAGGTCTAGAATCGTAAATAATTGTAGGTTCAGTTTTGAAGTTGTTACAAAATACCTCGTGTTGCGCTTTACATTGTGACGCGTTTTTTGGTTTCTGCTGTGTTGTTGGGTACTCGGAAGTGCACCGTGGTGTTGACCACCCGCGATTTCTCAAAATTACGCGAGTGTCCCCCAGTGATATGAAGTCATATGCTTGGTTTTTGGAGTAAGTGACTATTCCTGCCGGTGGCCCCACACACAGGAAACGCATTTGAAGTTCCGTATACCCGAAGAATGTGAGTTCCTTGGAGGCCTGTTTCTAGGTGTCTAATTCGTTTTTTGACATGGTTCTTTGCCAGACTTTCTGCTGAATAGAACACAGCTACTTAGCTCTATATTTCAGCACTAGCAGTAAACGTGATTTACAGTAACCTAAAGGATATACGACAGACAACTAAACTTCGCTCGGCAAGCCTAGCATGCCAAGCGTATTGGCAAGAGAGAAGGTGAAATGCTGACTTTATGGAACGCGCCACCGGTTCACTTTCAGCAGAGAATGGCGATCAACTCACAGATCTTCATGGAAGCGTTGTGCTCTTCAGAACTTCTTGCAAGCTGCATGGGAATTCTATTTTTCTTCTATCAGGTCTGTTCTTTGACACTCCTATTTGAAGCTACGCGTCAACGACGACGTGCTTCAATGGGATATATTCTACATTAGGCTCGAAAAGTTATCGTGCTAGATGATTTCAAAGTCAAAGCCGAACAGGAGACATATTTATTAGAACATTTTATCAAAACGATTAATGTTTGAGCAATAACAAATAAAAAAAAGGAGAGTGCAATAAATCTCCCCAAGTATACGATTACGAGTCTACTTCAACTCTCCCTATGTTCTCTGCCGCGAAAAGCCAGAGCACGAATGATTAGAGAACGGCGCCTGGCTCAACTCCAAATCTCAAGCAAGTGGGTGAGAGCTCTAAGCGTAAGCCTTGGAGGTGGAGGGAGACCGTAGTGGGTGAGCCAAATACATTGTGGCGAAGCTCGAATTTAAAGACTACAGCAATCATAACTCATTAATCAAGCGAGATAGCACAGGAGAGAGTATCAAATCGAGGTGGTTTGAAGGGACGAGTTCTAGGTGTTCGTAAATTCAAGAAAACGGTTGAAACGGCTCAGAGCTGTTGGAACGGTTCTGAAATCCGAGCCGGTTAAACGGGGACAGAATAATCATAATAAATCATAAATACGCTCGCACAGCGTCCTCGTCGATCTTCCAGCCACGTGACTGACGGGTTAGCACGTTAACACAGGTTAACGTGATCCAATCTCATTGCTATATGTGCGCCTTCTTCATCCTTAGGATTGAGTGCTCGGTGGTGCAGTGGAAGTGCTGCAGCCTGTGGATTCTGTGGTCGAGGGTTTGAGCCCGGGCAACATCTGAGTTTTGCAAACAACGTAGATGAAAGTTCCTGGTTATACTGCAAGTATAACACGTGTTGGCGGACGACTGTCGGTCAATGCTAGACGAAGGCAGTTCGTCACATGGGACGTGTCCGGTCAATGGGTGACCGACAGCGTTGAAATAAGCAATTTAGGATGGAATCGCGACTTTATCAACGTTTACTTCAGTGTCCTAACTGTACTACACTTGTTTGCGAATATTATGTCCTTCTAATGCCTGGAGTTTTATTCCTGAGATTAGTTATAAGTGGCAAAAAAGCGCAACTTGAATCACCGCTACAAAAAGTCCACGTCAGCAAATGGAAATCTGCACTAAAAATCGTCTCGTATCGACAATGTACGTAATAGGTCAACCGTCAGTAGAGAAGTCAATTTCAACCTGTAAGTTCCCATTGATGAGTCAAGTAGCGTCAGTCTCACTCATAGGCAGGACGAAATACTTATTCAGGTCCATCAATGCCGTAATAATTTCACAAAACAATTGGCTTTGGCTTTGAATGACTCGTTTAAATCCCTTATCGATAATGAGGAAAGCAAGATATAACGCCAAACAAAAGGCATTCTCAGGTACGCCCAGAAGTTTTGTTGCATATTCTTTAGAAAAAAAGATTTGTAAAAGTATTCAGATGTGATCAAGATACCAGTGTCATCTAAAGTAAAGCTCATCATTAATAATAAAAAGAAAGAATGGTGTGAAATTGCGCCTTCAGAACCTATTATAACATGCGGTTTGAAAATGCCAAGCGATGTCGCCGAAAATTTCACCCAGCATACAGCTAGTAACCACTATT